ACAAAGCTGCTAAAAATTAGCCATACAGCAAAATAGTCGACAAGTTCAAAATCTGAAGAAACAAAGGCTGTTTATCATTTGTAAAAGGGTCCACTACTTTTGACAAAGGTTTTACAAAGGACTACGCCGAAAGGTAGGATGGAAGGCCCTCTTCAGCTTCCTTTCAGGAATCGTGGGAATGGGTGGGTGGTGGTTCGGGTGAGAAAGATGAGACGGACGAAATAAAAACTAAAGAGAATGAACGATTACTGTCCCAGCATTTGCCTAAATGATTCAAGGAAACCATAGAAAAATTTGGACCAAGGCAGACGGACCCGGAATCGAACCGGCGTCCTCTCGAACGCTAAGCAACGGACTAAACCTCTAGGCCATGCCGCGCCGGATCGGCTTACGGCGAAAATTCGTATCGTGTATTACAGCCCTTAGGTTAAGGTTTCAATTTTCATTTACTAATCGTTAGTCCTATAAATATTAGTTTTACGTACGAAACCTTCGTCGGGTCGGCTAAACCTGCATTTAAATCATTTTCTTTTGAAGACAATTACAGATTAAAATGCACTGTCATTTATTTTATCTAAATTAAGTTTAAGAATGCTTCAAATTAACTAGATTTGTGAGTACTGTAGCGAGCACGAGCGTATTTGTATGGGATCGGGCATACGTGTGTGTGAGCGGCTTATCGATTTGCCGACTAGCCGCGGGCGCATTTCTTCATGTGCGCCGTATTTGTAAATGTGTGTGTCGTGCCTGCGTTCTGGGAAAGCAATGAAACAGTTCAAAGAAAAAGAAACTTTTCCGGATGGTTCGAGAAGATTCCCGAACGGAAACAAAAGCGTATCTGAAGGAAGAGACGATCGCCGAGAAGAAGTAGAAATAAACTGACAGTTGCAGAAGTGAATCGAGAAATAAATTGACAGTGATAGCAGTGAAATAAACAGCGCAGTAAATAGTGTAAATAAATAGAATAATTCTTTAGTTTAGTAATAATTTTAGTGTTTTTAAGTTTTTCAATAATTAGTGTAAATAAATAGTTTTGTCGTTATCAGTTCAGAAGTTAATTTTGTTAAACCCACGAACATTACAGTACTTTTGCTATAATAGGAAGTGACACATACTTCAACCAGCAATATATTGAACGGCAAATTAAAAATAACAAAAATCAATATGGGGTTTGGGTAGTGAAGCGATTTCGCTTGAAATTCAATATGTACTGTTTCTTACGTGTTCCTGAAGAAAACAGAAAATGTTTTTGCCTTATGTGGAGCAATCGAATTTCCAATTCAGACTGTTTCCTATAGTGTGTGTACTTGTATGACCCCAGTCGCCCGTTCGATCAACTTTGCCAATCATTTATAATTCAGAATTTCAACTACAACGCGCTTGTAAAAAAACGTTGATATAATGACAGAGAATATCGCCATAATATATACGCTTCCTTCAACGCCTTTTTAACAACAGATAACTACATGATAAAATAACAGATCGACTTTCAATTATCATACCAACCAAATGCTAAAAAACGAATAAAATAATCGGCTACTGAACATCTAGGTATACGCTCTAATTTTGTACGCGGATGAGGGCTCGTTCATACATGGCGGAACACGCGCGGTTCAACCGCGCGAATCTGATTTACAAAATCGTCTTCTTGTTCGTTAGTATTGAGCGCTAATCCACACGGATGCAGTAAATCGTTTTCGTTTATACAAATTTAATAGCGTTTAATTGCATTGAGGAGGCAGCACGTTTGGGACTTGTGTTACCATACATTCGCAATTAACAAAAAGAAATCCAATTAAAAAAAGATTGCTAAAGACGTAACTATGTTTGGAGCGCGGCGTTGTATGGGTGCGAAACATTAACGGTTAGATTACTATTTACTAATGGTTAAGCATATTGGTTGTACTAATTTTAGGGCAATGTAAAGATTAGCTCAGGATAGGAAAAAGTGGAGGTGCGTGCCCAATCAGTCTTAGGGTTGACGACCTTATATGATGAGAATAGAGGGCACTATGGAAGTCAATACGAAATTAGGCGAAATAGGTTGGCACGACACCTTAAGCATGAAGGTAGCTAGTTAAACACTTATTAGAAGCAAAAACAGGAATTAAACGGAATAGATTAGATTACTGTTCATAAATAGTTAAGAATGAGAGATGTTCTAGTTTTAGAGAAATGCGAAGATTAGTTCAGGATAGGAAAAAGTGGAAGTGCGCGTGAAACTAGTTTTAGGACTGAAGACCTTTTGATGATGGTGGGCGCTTTTTTGAGTTATAGTTAGGGTTGCCATCTCTAAAATTTGGAAACCAAGATAAGACGCGTGAAAACCCCGGATTTTAGAGTCCAGAACCCGGACATGTCAACAGGTTTTTTTAAACATAGCCAGTGTAACAAAAAACAGTTGAAAATGTCATAAATAACCCTTTTATTTATTTTCAGACCTTAAAATTAAATTTAGTCATTGTTTATCATCATTTTCGATGTACCTAACAAAACAGAATCTTATTACAGTTTGTTACAAATTGTTTTAATAATCAGTTAGATTTCTTTTACGTGTGTGGCGGGCGGCCCAAGACTTTAAATTTTTAAACCAGGACTACAAATGAAGCCCCCCCCGGATGCCCTCTAAACTAGGACAAATCCGGGGATACCCGGACGGATGGCAACCCTAGTTATGGTCGAAAAATCCAACAGCGAACAAAGGTAGGCCGCTCTAAAAGATTGGACTCGTTAATTTTATCACCTTTAGGGGCCAGCTGAGCAGATGAAACAATAAAATTGCTTTGTTTTTCGTGAATATCAGTATATTTTTCGCGATTCAAATCGTCTATGAACTAAGCATTGTTGAGAAGCACTGATAAAACTTTAAGTGTACTCCCAGTATAAGTCGCATTGCAATCCATCAACCCTAATAATTGATGTGAATCGGGTTTATACAAGCAGATATAGACAAACAAAATTATCGTTCGTTCGAATCTCGTTGTCTTTTCTACTATAACCTAGCCGAATCTTAACTGTAGAATGCTTATATTTGTAAATTCATAATTGGATTAAACAGTGCCTACTCTAATATAACACAAGGCACAAAAGAGGGATCTCATTAGGCACAATTTATCTTTAGGGCACGAATCGTGAAATAGTTGGTCAAAAAAGGTAATTTTTACTTACGCTACTTACGAATAAAGATCAAGAATACACGATTGATAAAGCCATTTAGCCATTTTTCCATTTGTACAAACAAAACCCCGCTGAGACATATAGTTAAGGAATACAAATGAATGTCGCCAAGTCGAGTTTGTTGTAACGAAAATTCGGAAATAGTTGAGTAGAATTTACACCATTATATAAAATACTAGACACTGAGTGTTTGTTTTTTGAAAAGAGATCCTCAAAAAAACTAATGCATCAGACCCAGAATGCCCAAGATCTGCAAATAGTTATAAGGCATGTTTCAAATTCATCAACACCAACTGATAATGATAATAAATAACGACCTATATGAAAAAATGTTTTGATTATAACTGAAGAAGAATTTTGACGGAGTTTCAACAGAATTGGACTCAGGGTTGGCGTCAAATCGGGATTCACTCTAGCAAAACCCCAAACGAAAAAGGGAGAATAACGGATATTTAAAGTACGTACAAGTAAAAATAATAAACACAGAAATGTATCAAACGGTAACTAAATTTAATGGTAAATTAGCAACTGGTAGCATTTTTTAACTTCCTGTAAATAAAACTGAAACTTGTAATTCACCTCCTTAATCAAAATAGTACGTATTCTACTTCCAATTCAATAAATTATATTGATCGACTAAGACTCCGTCATTAAACCAGTTTCCTTATTGATACTCTGTATTCTGTATCGGCATGTTTTATTGTCTCTTTGTATTTCTATATTTGTATGTAAAATAAAATGATACTCATGTTGCGGAACTTGATGCGGTTTGAGGTTTGTGAACCTTAGCTAAATATGCATCTGCATTTGTTTAACTTTTAACTGTATAAACAGGCGGAGTACTTGAAAGAAGTGGTAAAAAAAATGAATTTTGTACTTAAATTATACCTATTCTGTTCTTCATATACAGCAAGAGTTTGGATAAGAGATTGTAAAATTAAAAATAATTATGTATAGGTACTTGTCCATAACAAAATTCTTATCCAATCCACTTATAGTCTTTATTAAATTTCTTAAAAATGGTCGATATAGATTAAAATAGAATTTATAAAATTCAAAAGGTCATTTAAAATTAAAATAGAAATCAAATAAACAAAAAAGATATTCGCAAAAAGCAATCTCACACTATCAATTAATGTTCACTCTCATTATCCTTTCTCATACAATCCATCATCATCATAAGGTCGTCAGTCCTATGAGTGGTTGGACACGCACCTTCACTCTTTCCTATCCTGAGCCACATGGATTAATTTATATTTTACGAATTCTACAGGAACAGAAATTTCCTTTTCGGAATTCAGTTTTTGAAAACTAAAATTACATTTCAATTTTTTTGAAAAATTAAGTAAATTGAAGGTAACATTTTAATTAAATTCTTAAGTATAGTATTTGTAATTATGTACATGAGCAATTCATTATGTAAGTTCTTGAAGCGAAGTATGTTTTTCAATATTTATAAAAATTAATGGCAGAAGGTAGTAGCAATTTTTCTCCAATTACTCTCCAAACTCATTAACCATTAATATGAATTATTTTATTCAGGAAGAAGGAAATCTTAATTCACCTCCACTATTACTTATCCGTCACTTTCATGTACTAGTAATGAACACATTACATATACGATTTAATTTATGGTTTATATATTCTACATGACTTTAAATGAAAGATTTTGAATTAAAAGATGTCAACTTTTCCTTTTTAGATGGATATTTTGAGATATTTTGGAATAAATTATGATGTTAGGTATATAATATAGTATTTTATTTTTGATTTTCATATTTTTCCTGAAATTTATAATTAAAGATGCATGTGCATGATAGTACCTTGCTTAACAGTAATAGACGTGGGTGAGGTTCCTGGGGGTGAGATCAACAAGGGTGCTGTAGAGCTGGGTGTGCTCGAACCGGGTAAAGAAATATGAAGTGGTGCAAGTTGCTGCTGCTGCTGCTGCTGTTGTTGTTGTGTTGTAGGAGGCGGTGGCGAACTAGCCGAGGTCGAACCCACTGAACCTGGGTCGCTAAAACCCTGCGTACTACTATCCTCGGGGGTGTCGAAAAAACTCAAATTAAACTCGGATCCGGCGTCGAACGTGACCTGGGGCGCGATTTTTTCTGGTGAAGGTGCACTTCCTAAATTACCGTTTAGAGATTGATCGATTTTGAATACGTCCATTGTGTCATTCACTCAAATTGTGGCGGCCAAGTCGTTCCATAGCCGCCCGGTGGTTTTAGGCGCGGCCGCCACCCCCAGGTTGCGCACCCTCGCCCCCAAACCTCGTCGCGACCGTGCTCGAGGTCGAGGTGCACCGCCGATGACAACAACAAAAACACACCGACCCGGAAACCGCACACGTGTCCGAAACGTCGAAGGGCATCATAACAACCGCCGATGCAACGTCGACATCGAGGGTAACAAGTCACTTACACTGTTTCGGGGATGGTAACGAACGTCTTCTTCGACGTGTTATTGTGTAATCGGAAAATGTGCGTACGTTTGTCTGTGTGTGTGTAAGCACCGCTGGATACGCGAGAGCCAGCAGCTGGTTCTCAGGTAAGAGAGCCACCGTGAAACGGCGGCGTGTTCGAAGAGTACACGAGAGAGTGTGGTGGTGGTGGTGAGTCGCGGGGAGATGCGAAGGAAGAAGGGAGCCTGTGGTGGCCACGTTACCGGCACCAGTTCGATGACCGCGGTGGCAGCGTCGACGACGACGCCGATGCCATGCAGCAGCACCAGCTCCACGCTGTGTATTATGAGGACAGTGGCGGCGGTCGTTCCTAGGAATCACTTTCGTGAATTTTGACATCGGAACATATCACCCTTTAAACAAACCTGGACGAGATTCTACATTGAAACGATTGTACAAAATTTTCCGGAATTTCTCCAACCAGAAGGATCTTGTCCCAAACCCATTATCCTTTATGCAAACACCATACACCAATCAAACGATTCCTCCCTCAAAGAAAATAGGAGATTCTGTATGGAACCGATTGTCAAAATACGTAGAAATTGTCGAAACCATAGGGTTCATGTCTTAAATTTCTTTGAAATTTGCTTTTGCCAAGCACTGCTCATACCAAATAATACATTTTTTCATCAAATCAGATAAGATTCTACACCTAACAACACTACAACTGTCAAACATTCTATAACAATTACAAGACCAGAGAAAATCGTATCACAAGTCCACCTTGTGCCTTCTTTTCAAGAATTATTTTGTCCTGACACAAAATCAAACGTTTCTTTCCTCAACTCAGAGTTTTTACATCAAATCGACTGTCAATAATAGCCAAAATTGCTCAAGTCACAAGCATCATGTCTAAAATCCATTTCTTACCGCTTTTATCCAAACATCATAAATATAAAACAAGTAATTCTTCAAAGAAAATGATGATTCTACGTCAAATCGATTGTCTAAATAGCTCTTTTGTTGGATGTAGTTTCATCTTCTGATACTGTAACATTTTACATGTTTTGTCCTTCATACAAAATCCGAAGCAATTCTATATCAAACCATCAAGTATAAAAAGTCGCCGAAACTGCTGAAATCAGAGGCAAAATGCCTCAAATTAGAAAAGAAAGTCTAAGGTCTGAAGGTACAAAACCCTATAAGATTCAGCAATAGATAGGACGATGCAGCAAGTAGAAAATCACCATGTTTCAGGAAACAGATCTTTACTTAGTTTGAAATTTGTTGTAATGGGTCAACGGGTTACGAATTCAATTTTTAGTTTTTGGATTACAATCCAAAGGATTTGTTTGATATGTCAAGGTCTTCGTTTGTAATCCTAATTTCATGACACTTTTTCGTTAAAAGTCTAAAGTTCAACAATTGCCTAAACATGAGCTAAAAAATTAGCCAATATTTGTTTTAAAGATATCATTAAAACGTTGAATAATGCATCAATCTCATCATGGAATATAAAATGTATCATAAAAGTAAACCAAATTATTAACTACTTTTCTTTTCCAAATAATTATTGAACATACGAAGAAAGGAGGTTTTAAGTAGCAATTCAATTCCTGAAATCAACTACTTGATGTGGTTACAACGAAATGCACAATACATTGTAACAAAAGCTGCATTTTTAGGATTGCGGTTGAATACTTCTAAATGCAAGCATCATAGCTTCCTTTAATACGTTTAACTAATCGATTAACCGTATCGAAAAACAACAAAAAAAAGGATTGTTTGCATTGATGATATAAGTTGTGAAATTTGTAAAATATATATTCTGGGATAGAAATGGATCCCTTTCTAAAGAGTTCTAATACGATTCCAGGGATTGTAAATTTCATTTAGTACCAAACCCATTAGTATCTTCAGGGCTCAAAAGGAGAAAAGATTTATTGTTTCGAACAGTTTGAGTTTCTTAAAGTTAATTCTTGCAAAGCAAGTACGGAAGTGTCTTTTCCGTCTTTGATAGAAGAGCTACGTCACTGAAGTTGAGATTGTTAAGAAAGAGAGAAGACGAAAAGGAGCAAGAAGACAAGCGCGAGTTGAATGTAGCGAAAGCAGAGATCGCGATAAAAATGCAAATTTTGTTATATCAGCGCGCACCGTGGACCTTTTGTATTCTGTACTTTACCTAATACCTTCTTGACGGTATGGCCATCAAGGAAAAAAAAACGGACAACTGTGGATCAAAATTTAAATTCCTCCCGTCAACAAAGAGTCACGAACTTTATATACTACAAGATTGATGACATGGACTTTTTTCCGAAAAACTTGGGACACTGTGTTTCTTAAAAATAATTATGGTTATCATTACTTTCTAAGAAGACTTTCAAAAAATATCGAATATTTCTTCGTGTTCTTCTTCATTTTCCGTAATTTCAGAAATAGGAAAAATCCTTTTGCGTTGCCTTGATCATAAATATATAATCTCCTTTATGTTTTTGGACGGGGTAAGGATGAAGGTTAAAAGTGGAGAAAATCTTAATGAGCCCTTTGGTTAATTTGGAAATTCCAGAATGATTATAAGAGGTTAGAACGAAATGAGTAATAAAAAGAGTAGGAAGAGGACATCTTCTCAGGCATGAAGAGTTAATCAGAAATATATCAGAAAGAGAAACAGGAGCTAAAAGGGATAGAGGTAGACCTTGATTTGTTAAAGACGCAGTTTGCTCGAATTTTCGATTGACTCAAGATAGGAAGAAGTAGAGGTACGTGTCCAAACAATCTTTGGGCTGAGGACTCTACGATGATGATGATGATGCTATATATGAGATGACTCATCTGTTCTTCTATTTTACATTAAAGTGATTTTTCCTTTTTAACCTGTTATTGACACGTATATTCGCATTTGTTTCCGTTTTGAGTACATTCGTTAAAGAATTTCATTCCCTCACATCATCTATGCCCTTTGCCAAGTGAATTTAACAAACGGAAATATAAGAGCCGTTGTTATAGAGGGTACATTGTTGTTGAGGGGTTAAAGTGTATTATTAATTCCGACTGAATCAATGCAAGTTATAGTTGAAATCGCAAGGGGGTCAACCAAACACAAGAACCATACCGTTCAAAGCTCTCATTAGCTTTTTTTATAAGAATAAAAAGTACCTCCGTACTTACAAAGGAATATTAAGACAAAGCACGTAACATTCATTAAATTTGTTTTATCATTGGGCGGAACAGTCTTTTCTTTTGAGTTAAATTGAAATCGCTTTTATGCTCGCGAACGAATAAATTAGAAATTCGAAAAAGATTGTTAAAGATGCGTGCTTGGAAGTCGGCCATGTACGGGTGCGTGTACGGAAAGTTAAGACTGAGGAGGTTTTAGAAAGAATAGGAGAATGGAGGGCGTTATGAAAGTCAATAAGGAACAGGAGAGATATAATGGAGGGACACCTTTAAAGACATCAAAGGATGGTAAAAGACTCTTTGGAAGCAACAGGAGATAAGATAGCCAGAGATAGATAATTGTTCGTAGCAAGTAGTTAGGAATGTGGAAGTTCTTCTAGTTTTGGAAAAAAGCGAAGAAAGGATAGGAGGTGTGTGTCCAATTAGTCTTCGGGCAGAAAGCTTTATGATTATGAATGAGCGACCAGATACGTTGGCGTAACATTAGTCACAGGGAAATCTAAACAAAGTTAGAAGATCAGGAGTGTGGTTGAAAAACTGACGGATTTGGAAAAGATTTCAAAATATTTACTTCAGGAATATCTGGCAATTGATACATAAAGCTCAAAAAGTTGTTTGGACATGTAAGAGAGTTTGTGTCACGAATAACCTTTTTATGACTCCATGAGCTGTCGTGGAGTGACTGGACACACACACTGCGGGGCTAAAACTAGATAACAATTGGAGAATGGAGGGCGTTGTGGAAGTCAATAAGGAAAAGGGAGAGATATAATGGAGGAGCACCTTTTAAGACATCAAAGGGTGGTAAGAGACTCATTGGAAGCAACAGGAGATAGGCAGAGGTAGATTATTGTTCGTAGCAAATAGTTAGGAATGTGGAAGTTCTTCTAGTTTTGGAGAAAAGCGAAGAAAGGATAGGAGGTGTGTGTCCAATCAGTCTTCGGGCTGAAAGCTTTATGTTTATGAATGAGAGACTAGATACGTTGACGTAACATCAGTCATAATGAAATCTAAACAAAGTTAGTACGTAATGGGCAGGAATGTGGTTGAAAAACTAATGGATTTGGAGAAGATTTCAAAATATCTGGAGTTCAGCGTATTCAGGAGTATCTGGCAATTGATACATAAAGCTCAAAAAGTTGTTTTGACATGAAAGACAGTTTGTGTCATGAATAACTTTTTTATGACTCCAACAGCCGCCGTGGCGCGACTGGACGCACACTGCGGGGCTAAAACTTGATAACTTGCGGTGCTCCATTTCTTCGGCAAAGGCAGTGGAGCGGCCAAAATAACAGGTTCAGAATCTCATTAAATATTACATTACAGGGTCGCAATATTCGGGTGCTTCGAGTGGTTTGTACGACTTTGTTGGATGCTGGATACTCTCTCTTTCTCGTGGACCAGACCCAAAGAGGACGAAACGGTCGAATACACGTATGTATGCACTACCAGTATACACACGAAGAGCAAGCAATGGTTTAATGGTGGTGTGTTTGGTTGGTGAGTGTGCAGCTCTGGGAAATAGAACCGGTTCTTCTTCTGCTGTAGTAAAGTATGAGTAAAGTTCATTCACACCCGTTGCCGCGAGATGCGATCAGTTGGAAAAAGGTGCGTTCGCTTAATAAATGTAATAATTATCCGTTTCTCTAACGCCACAAACAAATGAACAAATATCTGGATGCCAATGGTTAAGTGACTGACAGGCTTGGGCGCCGAGCTTACAAACCGAATCTAACAGCCATTTAGAACCATCTTCTGAAAGTCTTCACAAAACTATCATCAATACCCTCCGCACAACTGAATGCCATAAAAGATAAATGGATAAAAACAACAACTAAGGTGTGACGATTGGTAAAAACAGTTTGGGCCAAGATGAAACCTAGAACAAAAGAAGACCAGGAATGAAACCAGGTCTAGAAGAGCAGAGCCAAGTTGAAAGTCTTGCTGGACAATGGAAAGGTAGTACATATTTTTGGTAACTCTGAAGGGAATCGTCATTGTTTTTGTAGGAAAACCGGATT